CACAAAGGGCCAAGGGCTACAGGAAAGTGGCTAAGACCACTGTTCCCACATTTTCTTGTTGCCTTTCTGTATCTGGGGGAAGGGGAAAGACAAAGGGAGAAGCCTCACCCACCCTCCCACCATCCCAGGGTCCGCGACATGGGGCACCTTCCAACGGCACTGCTCAAGTGGTTTCGATAGTTCAACAGTTCTGAATTGCTGCCAATCTCGCCATTCCAAGCATGATGAAATCTCCCCAGAACCCACTGGCTGACACAGTCCACCTTAGCATCTCCACTTGGCCAAATTTTCACTGCCAACACTTGGCTGGGCTAGGTGATTGATTTGTTCTGTCCTCTGTTGTGGTACCAGGTGTCCTCTGCAGGCTCCAGGGTACTGCCATGTCCTCCATGTGCACCTGGACATGCTGTCCACTGCTCTGTCTGAGCCACGGGGGAGGCTCAGCTGTGACACACGTACTCCACGGTCAGACCATGGAGCCTGGCTGCATCTTACTATGTACACATTACATCTTGGTAAAGTTGATTTCTAGGCTCTCTAAAGACAAGTAAAAGGCAAATTACGAGCTCAGAAAATAGTTGTGGCAGCAAAGATAAACCCTTGCAGGCCGAAGGTTAACATGTGTAAGAGGATCAGATAGTGACAAAATGGGCCAAGGAGGTGAACAGGAAGGAAAGAAACGGTGACCATGTGACAACAAAGAGTGTGGCAGTGATCCCAAAGGCAGCGCTAAGACGTGCAGAAAACATCCCCACCACTCTGCCAAGAGTCAGAAGAATAATGCCCACTGGTGGCGAGCATGTGGGAAATATCCACTCTATAAATGACATTGTGGTATAGCAAATAAGCAAACCAGTAAATGTTTCACTTTTGAAAGGTATCGAGTCCATTCACTGTGATTCCAGAACCTTTCATCTCTATCCTAACCTCCTCCCCAGGCTATGACCCTCTCCCATCTGAGCCTGCTGCTCTCTGTGTCTCCCCATCCTGCTTGTTCATCCCTACAACCTGTTTCTCAAGCTCTACTGCATCTTCCATTCTTCAGTACGTGTGTTCACTGTGGTGTGGATCTGCTTTTGCTGTGCAAACAACTTCCCTAAACCTTACAGCAGTCATCTCATTCTGAAGGTCAGTCAAGTGGGTCTCTCCCATTTGGGCTGGAATGGCCATTCTGTGTCTGGGGCAGGCTGGCAAGTTGGCAGGCCGTTAGGTGGGTCAGGATAACCTGTTCCTAGGTTTGGTGATTCGCAAGCCATTGGTGAAGTGATGGGGTGTCTGAGCCATGTATCTCTCCCCATCTGGCTGGCTGGCTTTGTCTTCTCCACACATGACAGATGCAAGGTTCCCAAGCACAGCAGGAGGACCAGCTCCTGTGCACAAGCATGCACCATCTCCCTGCTTCTGTGCACCTGCTGGCATCTCCTGGCTAATCCAGCTCCCTGCAATGTCACGTGAGAGAGCAGATGATGGTTCGAGTACTCTGACCCCTGTTACCCATCAGGGAGAACTGGTTGAAACTCCAGGATTCTAACTACAGCCTGACCCGGCCATGGAGGTGAAACAGTGGATAGAAAATCTCTCTCTCCTTCTCTCTCTTTGTAACTCTGCCTTTCCAACAAATTAATCTTTTTCAAATGGCTACAGGGGTCGTCAAACAGAACGCAGTCCAACCACACAGTGAATGATACAAAAACATTCGATATGACCAAGATGTTTTATAAAATAGAAAACAAAATAGAAGTATAAAATTGTTTCAGTGGGGGAAAACATATCCAAAAATGACTGGAATGATTTAGCTAAAAGGCTACTGCTCATGTCTGAAGAGTCAGGAGAGACATTTATTTCAGAATTTCCTAAGTTGTCTGACAAGAGCATGGGGGTCAGAACAGTGTAAGCATTCAGCACAGGTTGATGTGCCTGGGAAGGATGAAATAAGGGCCTTCGTGTGGAGGACTTTTCACACATTGCACACAGTCATTGGTTAATAAAAGCCGCCTAAGAAACACTAGCATTTATAAAAAAAACAGTCCATGTTCTTTTTTAAGCCTAGTTCGAAAGACACAGGTTTGTACTAGGGTTTGGGTCTGTTTCCCATTGATCGGTTGCAGATGTGGGTGACAAATGGCAATGACTTCCAGCCATGCTTTTTATGAGATCCTGACTTCACTGATCCCGACGTGGCCAGGTGAGGACAGCAGCACACGCGATGTGTGAGACGCGTTTGTCAAGTCCGCAGACAGCGTGCCGCGCAGGGAAGCTTGAAACCCTGCCAATGGTTTTGTTTGGTTGTGAGCCAATTATTGGAGGAACAAATGGGAAAAAAAAAATGCAACAGAGCTGCGCCTAATCAATTGTCAATTAAGTCATCTAAGCAGGAAATGGCCGACACCGGCGTCTAGCGTTCCTGAAACGACACTGAAGACATTTCTTCATTACTGATAAATGTTGGGACTTCCCTCCCCGGCTGCACAGGTCCACACCTTGGTTCCCCTCATCTTCCTTTCTTGGGGCAGACCCCCAGGGGCTCCTGGGAAACACAGATCTCCCAGGGCTGCTGTTTTCTGGGCCCATCTACTCATTATTTTGGGGAATTTCCTCATGACTTTCAGAGATCACTCAGCGTGCAGTCTCCTACTCCCATCTCAGCTGCTTTTTGTCCCCAGAATCCCTCCCCCTCCCCGCCCCCCCCAATGCTCTTGACTTCCCATTAAAATGAAACACTGGAGTGGGTGCGGTGTGGCCCGTTTCCCGTTACTATAATAAAATTCTCAAGGCTGAAGGAAGAGAGCTTTATTGAACCCCCACTTGTGGAGACTTGAGAGCAGGTGTCAGCAGCCTGAGGCGCAGCAGCGATGCACACGAGAGCTCACACCTCCAGACGGGCAGCCAGGGCGGGAGAGGGGCAGGGACTCACTCTGGCGGGTCCCAGGGGAATGACATGGATCCAACCCAAGCAGGCTGTGATGCGTCTTCCTTCCCGGGCGCTGCTGACAGTGGTGATGCTGAGAGACTTGTGGAGCAAGCTCAGCTGTCCCTTGAGAGAGACGTGACCATGTGACAACAGGACTCCGGTGATTCCTGGCTGCCAGGCTCCTCCTGCTCAGATGCGTCCTCAGGTGCTCTGCTCGCTGCCTTTCCCTCTTTTCACATGAATCTTACAAAGTCAGCTTTCTTTTTGCTCTCAGCCTGTCAGATGCCGGTCAGAGGAGGCCACACTTTTGTTGGAGTTGTCCTCATAGGATAGTCTCATCTTTTGATGTATGTGAACTTTCTCAAAAACCTGAGGTAGCGTCAGTGTGAATGTGTTTAGTATTCTATTAGTTGAGCCAAGTTTTCTGAACTCAGCATACCCTGATGGGTTTTTGGTTGTTGTTTTTTTTACTGAGGCCAGGAGCAGACTCACAGAAGAGTCAACAAGGTCCTGCGTCTTCTTCCGGACAGCCATGGGCCCAGCCCGGTGGCAAGCTTGGAGGGGCACGCTGGTATTGAGCATCTCACCCCTCTCCACCTGCTGTCTGGTGGCTTCATTCCAGCTGGCTCCAGGACCTCACCCGGTTGCCCCCTTGTGCCAAGGAGGCATATGCTGCCTTATTCTTGGTGTCCCTCAATTGAAAGTCTTTCATTTTTTTTTTTTAAGATTCATTTATTTTTATTGGAAAGTCAAGTATACAGAGAGGAGAAACAGAGAGGAAGATCTTCCATCCACTGATTCATTCTCCAAGCAGCTGCAATGACCTGAGCTGAGTCGATCCGAAGCCAGGAGCTTCTTCCGGGTCTCCCACGTGGGTGTGGGGTCCAAAGTCTCTGGGGTGTCCTCAACTGCCATTCCAGGCCACAAGCAGAGAGATGGATGGAAAGCTGGGCTGCAGGAATTAGAACTGGAGCCTATATGGGATCCTGTGTGTGCAAGTCAAGGACTTTAGCCACTAGGCTACTGCACCAGGCCCAAGGGTCTTTCCTTTTCTTTAAGACTTATTTATTTTATTGGGAATATATTTACAAAAAGCAGAAAAGACAGAGAAAGACCTTCCATCCATTGGTTCACTCCCCAGATGGCTATATGGCCAGAGCTGAGCCAATCCAAAGCCAGGAGCCAGGAACTTCTTCCAGGTCTCCCACATGGATGCAGCATCTCAGAAACTTGGATCATCCTCCACTGTTTTCCCATGCCACAAGCCAGGAGCTGGACGGGAGGTAGAGTAATTGGGACATGAACGAGCGCCCATATGGAATGCTGGTGGTGGCAGGCAAATGATTAGCCAATTGATCCACCGTACCGGCCCCTCAAATGTCTTTTCTTTGCAGCTCACAGATGCTAAGGATACAGAACAAAGCATTTTGTGATACCCTCCCCATCTCTGTCCGTGCTGTAGGCTCAGAAAGCCTTCAGGTACAGATGAGGCCATGGCATGCCAGTCCCCAGCACTCAGCTCTGTGGAGTCCCTACCCAACTTTCACAGACACTCTCCTTGCCAGATGTGATGCTTGCATTTGGAAAGTGTTGCTTGTGTAGATTCTGCAACTGAATCCTATCTGCACCCACGGACAGTCAAGTGGGGACTTTCGTAACTCGGGTGACCCTAGTGCTGGCTCCTGGCAGCCCTGGGAGATGTGCCTCTCCAGAGATCCTCGTGTGAATGAGGCAGTGTTGATGGAGCCAGCTCTGCCTTCGCTGCATTGCTGATGTAACCGACAGAGCTGGGTCAGTGACTGTTGCCACCAAGGTGATGATGGCAGCTGACACCCTCCCCCTGCCACTCCAAGCAGCACCCCTACTGTTGGTCTTGATTCACCATGATTCATGAAACCTGGAGGTGTTGGGGGTGTGGGAGATGGCAGTAAGCTTTATGTCTTCCTTGTAAAACTTGCCTTGTGCTCCAACGTTTCATAGCACGTTTGACTGGAGCTGATAGACCAGGGAAACCTGGAGCCACCCTCCTCCAGCCAGCCTGCTTGGTGGAGGCAGGAAACACGACTGGAAAGTTAGAATACACTCCTTCGTGCTCGCTTGGGCAGCACGTATACTAACAGTGGAATGATAGAGAAGATTAGCATGGCCCCTGCACAAGAATGACACGCAAATTCATGGAGCATTCCATATATATATATAAAGGAATCCACTCTCTTCTTCAAACTCGGTGCTTTACATCTGTGTGACTGTGAAACTCACCAGTCCAGATCCTTGGGTCCAACACACACACACACACACACACACACACACACACACACACACACACACACACACAGATTAACAAGGGGAGAGGGACTTTGGCAAGGGCAAAGCCTATGGAACTATACCGTAAAACAAAATAAAATATTTTTAAATGTAAAAAAAAAGCGATGAACGAGTGAATGATGCCCCCAGTGTAGTCAGTGCACACCTGCGCAATCCCCCGCAGAGGCCCAGGGCTTTCCTGATGGGGCCCTGGCTGGGGACTCGGCCATCCTCGCCGCCCTGCGCCCTGTCCTGCCTGGGCTCAGCCTGGGCCTGGTCATCCTCTCTGCCCTTGCCTGGGCTCGGCCATCCTCTGCCCTGCTCCCTGAACTGCCTGGGCTCAGCCATCCTCGTTGTCCTGCGCCCTACCCTGCCTGGGCTCAGCCATCCTCTGCCCTGCCTGGGCTCAGCCATCCTCGTTGTCCTGCGCCCTACCCTGCCTGGGCTCGGCCATTCTTGCCGTCCTGTGCCCTGCCCTGCCCTGCCTGGGCTCAGCCATCCTCTCTGCCCTGCTCCCTGCCCTGCCTGGGCTCAGCTGTTCTCGCTGCCCCTCATTGCCCCGTGCCCCGGTGTCTCTCACTTGCTTTCCAGACCTCACCCTTCAAGAGGGGTAGACAGCTATTGTTTCTCTTCGCCCTCCTCCAGATTACTCATGAACTCTCATAAAAGTGGATAAGAACAACAAGAAAAAATGCTACTCAAATTTCAGGTGAAATATCTTCTCGGATCCTGAGTCTTCAGTGTCTATGGACACTCCAGTAACTGTGAAGAGCAGAGAGACTCCGTAAGGAACCCGAGTCCCTCTTCCCTGTACCCCTGCCCAGTACCTTGGCACAGAAGACACGATCACCCCGGGGAATCACAGCCCACCCACCCCCTCTTCCTCTTGATGTCAGCCTCCCTTTGGTCAGTCCCTGGATGGAAGCCATCTGCTGTGAGATGCTTGCCTTTGTCTCCTTTTATCCCTGCTGCAAGGACTTCCAGTGCAAATGTAAAAATAGCCTCCATGCCTCCATTATTCTCTGCCTCCCCTGTGGGCTTTATGCTACAGCAACAAGGCCAGGCACCCGCCTCTGATTACCTGTGGGCCACGTGCCTACTATCCAAGTGGCTGCCCTTCAATGTGACGGTGGTGCCTTGGCTGGCTTGGATAGAGAGGCACAGCTAGACTGAGTGCGGGCAACGTGACCCTCCATGAACTGTATGACTCAGCAGCCAGATATTCCAGCACTGTGTGCGGTACCTGTGGAGACAGAAGAGACACCATGGCAGGGTGCGGGGTGGCATTCGTTGGAGAAGCTGGTGAATAATCCTTTCTCTGTATAGGACTGAGCAGGCTGCTAGCTTTGACGCCATTCTGCAGGGCACTTCGAGGGCCCAGGCACGACCCATGCTGTGCCAGGGCTACTTGCACAGCACCAGTCAGGTGGTATTCCTTGGAGTCTTGTCGGTTTTCAGGGCAGCAGTGATGAGCCCACAGCCCAGCTGCAGGTGTGCAGATCGCCAACAGGAAGCCGTGCTGTCCCAAAAGTCACTTCACCTCTCCAGTCCTCATTTGCTTGCCTCCAATGTAAAGGGACCAGCTCAGCAGGGAGGAGAGAAGATCGGCTTTGGAGGCGCCACAAGTGAGTCTTCACCACCAGCCGTCTACCCCTGGAGAGTGGGTCCCATTGTTCAATGCTGAACATGTTTCCTTTTTAGAAATAAAAAAGGGATGAGCTCATTGTGACCAGGCTGGGTTGTGAAAGGACCACACAGGAAAGGAAAAAAAAAATACATGCCCAGTGGGCACTCCATCCATGCTGACTGTGCCCTTAGGGCACTACGGGGAGTATGTCTGGCTCTGGGAATTTTTCATGCTGGAAGACCTGAATGTGGCTTTGGAGGTGCGACCCACTCTCAAGGCCCTGGTCTCCTAGTATGTGTGATGCGCAGGAGGGAAGTACGGGGAACTTGGGCTGATCATGGTGTCCTGAGGGGTGCTCAGGGCCTGGCCAGCTACAGCAGGATGGAGGGAACAGACAGAGGAGGGGCACTTCACTGTCCCTGCTGTGCAGAGCAGCGCTCTTGACTGCCAGGCAGTTCTGGTTGGAGATCCCTCCCTCCTGGGCTGCAACAGGAGTGGCCTTGACTGGTACCCTGTGAACTCTGACATGTCTCCTGTCCCACCCACCCCATCCAGGAAGCCCATCTGGGTTATCCCGGGCTTCTGTTTCCTTGCTGGGCTACAACGAACCATTGCCTCCATGGTTCCATGCCACAATCCTTTCCATCTCAGACCTTTGACCCTGCACCAACACAGCTCCAAGAACTCAGGCCCGGGACTGACCTGTGCAGAATGGAACCTAGGGAGGCAAACTTGATGGACGGGTGATCTCTGATCAGCCCCTTTCAGAGCCTGGGAAGCAAGGGAATCACCAGGTACACATGGCTGCAGGTCCTGTGTCCCCTCCCCGCTACCCCCTGACAGATCTTAGGATTCCAGGGTACGTTCTCTGTGTTCCAGAAAGGCTCCGCTGTCAAAGGAGGGAAGAAGCAGCTGGAGACTGAGACAGGCATGGAGAGGGTACGTGGGCAAGCCTGACTCTCTGGTTCTACCACTTGGCAGATAGGTGATCTCAGCACCTCGGTTTGGTCATCTCTAAAACAGAAAAACCGCAGTACTCTCCCCTTAGGTCTATGAGAGGGTCAAAGGAGCTCCCACAGGTGAACAGCTTGAAATGGGGCCCGGGACCCAGCAGAGGCTGGCTGAGTTCTGTCTCCAGTGGTCACTGCAGAATGGTGATAGGGCTCAGAGAAGGGGCTGCTGCGATTATATCATCATTAACAAGTTTGCTTGAGGGTGGAATTGTGGTGTAGTGGGTTAACCTGGTGCCTGTAATGCTAACATGCCGGTTACTCCACTTCCAGTCCAGCTCCCTGCTGGGCATCTAGGAAAAAGTGGCAGAAGATGTCCCGAGTGTTGGGGTCCTGCCACCCAAGTGGAAAACTTAGTTTAAGCTCTTGGCTCCCAGCTTCAATTTGGCCCAGCTCCAGCCATTACAGCCATTTGGGGAGTTAACAGTGGATGCCAGATGTCTTTCTCCCCTATCTCTCTGTTTCCCTCTGCAATTCTATCTTTCAAATAAACATTTTTCAAAACCATCCCTCTGGCAGTGTGTTGGAGTACAGGCTTGGGAAGGGCCTTGTAAGAGAGGTTGTGCCTGCTTACTGGTTGATGAATAATTTTATTTCTTTCCGAGTTCTGAGGGCAGTCCCATGCGTCCAAGAAGCACAGTGGCCTGGCTGTGAGATAAGGAGGAAATTTATGAACACAAAGTCGGGCTCCACAGAGTGGCCATGGAGTGACTGGAGGTTCCAGCTTCCCTCTCTAGCCCTGAATAAAAGTGCTCATGTAGCTGAACCTGTATCTCCATATATGAACTTTGGTTGCCTTTGCTTTGTGCTACCTTCCCTGAGTGCGAGCAGCCCGAGTGAACTTCCACCCTCTTCTTTCCCCCAAATCCTTGTCCTGGGAGTCAGTGGACTCTCTCGTGGCAAGCATCGGGCAAGTGCTCCATATCAGCTTTGAGCTGAAGCACAGAGAAGGCCTCTGTGAGAAAGTTACTCTGACCTTCTCAGAGCCTTCGGACTTAAGGAGAGCTGCAAAAGTTTGGGATGCTGAGCAGGGCTTGGTGACCAGTCAGCTACGGGAGGTGCTTTTGAGGAAGAAATGTTGGGGCCATGGGTGTCTCCGAGTGGAGCATGGTCTGGACATTTTGGAAGGGATAAGAGAAAGGAGGTGCATTATGGTCAAGAGGTGGCCGCAGTGGCATGGGATGATGGCTGGCAAGGGGCAGTGCATTCTCAGGTTTGGAACCGGAAGCCAGGGCTGCAGGACTAGACTAGGGATGAATAGGTGTAAGAAACTGAAAATAAGCGGGATCAATGAGGTCAACATGGGAAAGAACAGGGGATGAGAAGAGGGGAACAAGGGCTGAACCCGATAAAGGGAAGGGGCTGGTGAGGTGGGCCCTTGGGGAGCCTGTGCTGGTCCTTGGACTGGGTGAGGGCCTGAGGCTGCTGGTCAAGGGCCAACCATGTGCATGGCAGTGGGACAGTTGGAGGATGATGGTACAGCACACAGCAGCTGCAGAAGGGGACTTTTCTAGATATTCTCAGGAGCCTAACCAGAGACTCCCTGGATACAGGCCTGGGTCTTGGAAAGCTCTCATTGTGAGCCATCTTCAAGTGATGTGTCTAGGGAAGCTGCGAGAGTGCGGCACGAGGTAGGTGTCAGACACAATCTGAGGGCTTTGCATCTAAGTGACAGCTTAGCACACAGTTGAGGTGGCAGACAAGATGGTTAGGGAGAATTCAGGTAGGTTTTGGGTGGGGGTTAGTGGGTCAGGTCTATAATGAGCCAGGGAGCAGTGGGTGCCTGTGGCTCTCACTGCATGGCAGGACATATGGCCCTGGGCCTGGGACTTGTGGTGTGTGCAGTGAGCACTCCTGGAACTGGGCTGAATGGCTCTGCAGCTGAAACCAACTTCCTCTTGCTTTATTTCTGAGACATGTCACGTGGGAGATTTTTTTTTTCTCCCAAGGTATTTGAGTGAGCATTGCTTTGATTAACTGAATCCTCCACCCGAGGAAATACAAAACTTCACATTTGCTTCAGAGGAGAATTATGAGGTGAAAGCTTTCAGAAGTGCCGAAGCAATCATGAAGGTTGGAGTCCCAGTCCGGCCCATGAAAGCAGAAGCAAAGACCAGTTGAGCACTGGGGTGTCAAACTCCAGCTTTTGCACGGGGTGACTGACTGTGGCTCCTGAGTTCCAGGTAGCAGGTTCTGGGTCCGTCTGCAAGCTCCTGCTGCATTTCCATCAGCAACTTCCCTTTCCCGCTCCTT